AAGATGGGCCGTCTGACCCTACGGCCTCATCCTCGAGGCCACCACCCGCTTCTCCTCTCTCTCTCTCTCTCTCTCTCTCTTTCCTGAAGAACTGCGCGAGACCACCTCGTCCTGCTGCGCCGACGACGGCTTCAACGAGACGGTGGCGGCACATGGGCTTGGGGGTATCTACCCAGATGGGTCAGTGGGTGCTGCGAAACGGACAATGGCAGGCCCTACGATGGTCGCCTCCCCCACGGGGCCCATTGATGCGGCTTCCTCGTCGGCTTCAGCTACAGCAAGTGCAGATACCTTCAACAGTCTTCGGCGTTGGAACGCTCTGGTGCGTGATGCCGTGATCGCCGCTCGGTTGGCCGCGGGATCTTCAGAGCTGCTCTCAGGCCGACAGATGGCGCACGCGGTGGACATCCTGAACGAGCACTTCGTGCTTTCCGATGAGCAGCGGTGCCTGGTGATCTGGATTCTTCAGAACCCTGACAGTGCTCTGGGCGGTGAAGAAGGCGGCGGTCTTTACCTCGAGCTGCAGGGGGCGATAGGCGTAAGTGACAGCCAATCTGGAACAGGCTCTGCTCAACCATCCCATATGGGGACACAAGGTTCAAGTGATTCTCGCCCGCGGGTTAATGGACACCAATCGCGCCCGCGTCTCCTGGCCGACCAACCCTACAGGAGTGCCACCGCTACCTGCAGAGGCTCCACATGGTTTCGGACAGCATGATGAGGCTTGTGATGCGGATGCCCAACTACCAGGCAGTGCTGCTCTTGATGATGATGTACCTCCTGACAGCGCTGCTACAGCCTCATTCTCGCCGCCTGCTGTTGCGGCCTCTTCTGACAATGGCGCCTCGAGCATGAGCGAGGACGATGGCGATGTACTGCTTCACCTCCTGGAAGCAGAAGAGGACGCGGACAACGAATTCGAGGCGGCCCACTCTGCGGGCATGGTTTCTGCTGATCCTCTTGCGGACACAGGAGATCCTGATGACCAACATGCGGAGATTACTGCTCTGCTTCTGGCAAATCCTGGAGAAGTGCCCACTGTGGACAGCGTCGGCGACGTTCGTCCTGCTGGCTCTGTTCCAGAAGGTTGCGCCTTTCTGCTTGACGGCGCTGCCGTCGCTGGCGCGTCGTCCGTCTTCGCCAGCTTCCACCGCGACGACCTCGACGACCAGCTCGACTCCTCGGAGGAGGGCCTGAGGACAGGCCCCGCGCGGGCCGCGGGCGGAGCGCCCCGAGCTGCCCAGGGCAGCGATGCGGCTGGGATGGGGACTCCTCTCGAGGCGTGGGCTCCTTCTCCTCCTCCTCCTCCTCCTCCTCCTCTTCCTCCTCCTCCTCCTCCTCCTCCTCCTCCCCCTCTTCCTCCTTCCCCCTCCTCCTCTCCCTCCTCTCCCTCCTCCTCCTCCTCCTCTTCCACCTCCTCCTCCTCCTCTTCCTCCTCCCCCACCTCCTCCTCCTCCTCCCAGGTGGCCCCCCAGCGTGGCCCCGCGCAGCCGTGGCCCGTGCACGGGGGCCCCCAGGCGCCGAGGGCGCGATGGGACTCGCGCGCGGCCTGCGCCCAGCGTTGCGCCGCCCGAGTCACCCGTGAAAGAGGACGTGAGCGCCGCACCACGCTCGGCGGCGGCGCGGCGGAGGGCGCGCCTGCGGCGCGCGACTGCGCGGTGGGCTCAGCAGCGCGCCGTGGAGGCCATTCACCTGCTGGACCCGCCCGCGGCTTCGCCGGCAGCGCTCCCCGGCCTCGCCGACGCCTTCGGGGAGGGCCTGGCGGCGGGCTGGCGGCTTGCGGACACGTGGGCCACAGCTGCACTCCTGTCGGAGGCACCTTGGTTGGGCGGGCAGCGGATGCAGGCTTACTCAGAAGAAGGCTGGCCCGAGAAGGCGAGCCCTTGTGAGAAGCGGGAGGCGAAGATAGAGCCCAACATGACCAGCTACAGCGCTGCGATCAGGGAGTGCGATGAGGGGAAGGCGATGATAGAGCCTGCCACCACCACCCGACTCAGCTCTGGGATCTGCGCGCGCGAGCTGCGGGAGGCGAGGAGCGAGCCCGACACGTTCAGCCACAGCGCGGAGACCAGGGCTCGCGAGAAGGGAACGGCGAAGCTGGAGCCTAACATGCCTATCTCCTCGACACCCCTCGTCGCCACGGTTGGATCATGCGAGAAAGGGAAGGCGAAGCTGGAGCCCGATAGCCCTTCCCACGACTCGGAGAACAAGGCAAACCTGGACTCCGACACCCTCAGCGAGAAGTGCGAGAAAGGGGAGGCGAAGACGGAACCCGACATCATCAGCTACAGCGCTGGGATAAGGGCGCGCGGAAAAGGGGGGGCGAAGCTGGGGCGCGAGAGGTGGGGGGCTCAGACAGAGCCCGACATCCTCAGCTACAGCGCTGAGATCAGGGCGAGCGAGATGGACAAGCTGGAACCAGACACCGCTAGCCACAGCACTGGGCACAGCACGTGCGAGAAGAGCGAGGCTACATGGTCGTCCCCGTTGCTGCGGCGCTGGCCCTGGTCAGAGCTGCGCGCGCGCGCGCAGAGGGAAACCGACGCCATCAGCTACAACGCTGGAACCAGGGCGTGCGAGAAGGAGCAAGCGAAGCTGGAGCCAGATACCCTCCGCGAGAAGTGCGAGAAGGGAGAGGCGAAGATAGAGCCCGACATCATCAGCTATAGCGATGAGACCAGGGAGCGCGAGAAGGGCGACGCGAAGCTGGAGCCCGACACCGCCAGCCAATGCAGTGGAAACAGCGCGTGCGAGATGAGCGGAGACACGTTCAGCTGCAGCGCAGAGACCAGCGCGCTCGGGAAGGGGAAGGGGAAGGCGAAGCTGGAGCCCGACACCCCAGATCACAGCTCTGAGAACAGCGCGTGCGCGAAGTCGGGAGCGAATGTGGAGCCCGACGTGCGGGCGCGCGCCGAGGCTGAGGCCAGCGACCCTGAGAACAGCGAGAGCGACCAGTGGGAGGCGAGGAGTGAGCCCGACACGGTCAGCTACAACGCAGCAGCCAGGGCTCGCGAGGCCCATGAGGCGGCGGAAGTCGAAAGGTGGCTCATTGGCCTGTGCGGCCACACGTGCGGAGTACCCATGGTGGGCGTGGTACGGCAGCTGGAGCGAGACGGAGTCGACATCGAGTCCGTGGAAGCCTACTTGGCTTCCCGCCACTCCAAGAGCAAGAAGACGTTCCTCCTGGAAGGAGAGGGGCTCGTCTTTGCGCAGGCGCGCAAGGGATGCGAGAAGGAGGGGGGTGAAGCGGTCAGACACACGACACAGCGAGAAGTGCGAGAAGAGGGAGGCGAAGACGGAACCCGACATCATCGGCTACCGAGCTGGGAACAGGGCGTGCGAGCGAGACGCAAGAGTCCAAGAACGGCCTCGAGAACTACTGCTTCACCATGCGCAACACGCTGAGGGAGAAAAGGGTCAACGAGACGTTCGAGGCCGGCGTAATGGAGCAAGGCGAGAAGCCAGTCCAGGACACCCTTGACAGGTTCGACAAGAACCAGCTCGCCGAGAGGGACGAGTTCGAGAGCAAGCGGAAGGAGCTGGAGGGCATGGTAAACCTTCTCACGCGGCAGCCGCTGACGAGAGAAGTGCGATAAGGGAAGAGAGCCTGACGCAACCAGCTACAGCGCTGCGATCGCGCGGGCAATGGAGAAGGGCGGACCTGTGAGAAGGACGCCCGAGGGCGCTGCGGGAAGCGCCAGCCGCCCCGCGCGCGCGCGCGAGGCCCGCGCGCGCGAGGCGGGACGCCAGGAAGCTGGCCGCTCGAAAGGGTCGAAAGGGCTCCTCCTCCTCCTCTTCCTCCTCCTCCTCCTCCTCCTCCTCCTCCTCCTCCTCCTCCTCCTCCAGGGCGGTTTGGGCGAGGCCGGGGGGGCATTGGGCCATGCCTTTCGGTAGGGTGGTCTCGCACAGCCCAGCCCGTAGGGCGGGGGCCGCCGGGTCTGCTGAATTGCGCCCCCCTTTGCTGCTGGCCCCCCCGGCGCTGAGCCATCGCGTGAATTCCCTGCGCTTCGCGCTCTGCTCGTCTGGGGCGCGCAAAGTCTGAGCGTTGCAAGCGCCCGCTCCCCTCCTCCTTTTCCTCCTCCTCCTCCTCCTCCTCCTCTCCTCGCTTTTCCCCTCTCCCTCTTCGCCCTCTCCCTCCGCCTCAATTCCCCTTGGTCCTCCTCTTCCGCTGCCGCTTCCGTCTCATATGTCTCCTCTTCTTTTTTCTTACTTCTCCAAATCATCATTCTTCTTCTCATCCCCCTCCTCCTCCTCCTCCTCCGCCTCCTCTTCTTCCTCCTCCTTGGGTCCATTCGGCGCCCTCCTGGGGGCCTCTTGGGCGCCTTGTTGGACCCTCTTGCGGTCTCTTGGGTGGTCCTGTGGCGCTTTGGGGCTGTCTTGGGGCGCGGTCTTGGGAGGGGGGTCCCTCGTGGGCCGAATTGGGGTTCCGATGGACCGTTTGGGATAGTTACTGACAGACCAACAACACACCCAAACCCATAGGGGGGGTCGGAGAGGGCTATGGGTGCGTGTTGTCGGATGGGGGTCCCCGCTCGAACGGGAGCCATCCCCAGGGTCCGGCATCCGACAACCCGCACCCATACCCATAGCCAGTCTTCTTCCCAACGACCCCCTTATGGGTATGGGTGTCTGTTGTTCGTTCGTCAGTTCTGGGGGCCTCTTCCGAAATTCAGGGGCCTGCTTAGCAATTCTCTCGGGTGTTTCTGAGGCGTCTTGAGGGCCATCTTGGAGGCATCTTGGATCGGCGAGAGTTCCCAGATACCCGAAAAGGCGAGACCTCAAAAATGCAAACATCGGCATAGGGTTGTCGAAGCCTTTGGCTTCTGGAATTCCTCTTCGGGCCGTCGGATAAGCAAGAGGAGAACAGGTCGGTGAAGACTGGGCGAAGGAGTAGAGGAGAGAAGCGAAAAGCATGCGGATAACATCAAAAATAGGTGGAAGGGCGAGGACATTGTGAACGAAGCATGTGACACGCAACGGCCATGGTTTGCTTGACTGAG